CACCCACATGCACATACGCACATCCGCCCATAACCGGAGCATGCGCACACGCGCGCACTACATCCATCCCAGACGTGCGGAGAGAAACGTTCGTCAGTTCACTTGCCTTTCTAGGCTCCCTACCCTGTGCGGGCACATGCGCACACGAGCTCGCCCCGCCCATCCCGGACGTGCCATCCCACACGGAGACGCGAGCGCGCCCCTCCTCCAGCAGTCCCTGTGCGTGAGCGCGTCTTCCTGCGCGTCGGTTGGCGCTCGCCTCCCCTGTGTAGAGTGTGCCAGTCCTTGGGAGCCCGCACCCGGCCCTCGCGGCACACCGTGACTCAGCATCTTGGGTGGTGCGCCTCTTGTAACAGCTCTTCCAAGTCCGTCTGCGTGGATGCGGCGCGCCCTGCTTCCGGCCTCCCGCCCCTTCGCCCAAGTCCCCTGCCCCGTACTTTTGCCTTCACACCCTTGACCACCTGGCCTCCTGGGCCTGCTAGAGCCCTGTCCAGCTACCCTGAATTAAGGCCTGACTTATCAGTGCCCACGTCTCGGTTTCCCTATCTTTAGGACCATGCTCTTGTTTGGTCCCAACAGAGGCTGTAGTAAAAAACTCAGTGGGAGTCACCTGCTTTTCCTGGGCTGCCTTTTCAGGAGTTAACAGTCCCTGGCCTTTTTAACTTGCCTCTAGGATCAGATTCCCTCCTCAGCCTCAGTCGTTCCACTTGCAGGTGGCAGATCATCTTGTAGAAGGCCCTTAAGGGTGATCAGCACTGGAGTGGGATTTCTTTCTTTCTTTCTTTCTTTTATTTATTTATTTTTTTTGGTGGGGGGGGGGGATTATTCATCTTAGTACCAGGTCTGGGTCACTTTTCCCCTCCCAAGATCCGGGCACTTTTGAACTCTGTACTCTGCGGTTTGCAGCACTTGGCACAACATAAGGTTTTGGTGATGCAAGCAGAAAACGGGATTTGACAAGTTTTAGAATATAAAATTACCTTACACTGATGTTTTTCCAAACTACGCATTCCACTCCCCAAGATTCAGAGATGCCACCCCCAGACGTAGATGACTGATCACCACCCTGTGTGTACTCCCCGTCTTTCCTAGGGAAGTCGCCCCAGTGCCCTACATTAATCCAAGAGGACAGATGATGATAAAATCTTTCTACCAGATCTTTCTACCTCTCTGCATTTGCCCAGACTGCTGTCTTAGCTTTTGAGTTGCCATTTTGGTCCATTTCCACGTGTAAATTCTACTCTGCTATTTAGTGTTAATATTATAGAGTTCAAGTTGATACTAGAACTGGGATGATGAGAGACAGGGGATCCCTGCTTCCCTACTTTTCTTACACCTTTTCCCTAAGATGGCAGGACAAAAAGCCAGGAATTTGTGAAAAGGATAGGGTTGATATAAAATCTCTACTCCATTAACTCATCCTCAGCCCTTTTTATTCTCTATTTTGAGTCAGGATCTCTCTTAATTACTAAGGCTGTCCTCCTGCCTCAGCCTCCCAATTCGATAGGATTATAGGTGTGCCCCACTGGTGCCCTGCTCAAATTTCTTAACCTCTTTTTTTTTTTTTTAATATTTTTTAGGTGTACTTGGACACAATACCTTTATTTTATTTATTTTTATGTGGTGCTGAGGATCGAACCCAGGGCCTCACACATGCTAGATGAGCGCTCTGACGCAGAGCCACAACCCCAGCCCCTTGACCTGTCTCTTCAATGTGAAGGTCAATATGATATCCATCATAGGGCTGACACAACAATTATATGGGAGAGTATCTAGCAAAGAGCTCTTCAGAGAGTAAACCTGGCTGGCCATACTAGAAATTGATAAAGGAATATTAATATTGATATTCCTTTGTTCTACCTTTGTGTGTTTTCTCTCCTTTGCTACCATGACCTCTTACTTGCAGATAAGGATCTAGTTTCCTGCTAATATAGAAAACCCATTAAATTTAGAATTTCAAAGTTGAATATTAAAATTTTATGCTGGGGACTGGAGTTATGGCTCAGAGGAAGAGCACTTGCCTAGCATGTGAGGCACTGGGTTCGATCCTCAGCACCACATAAAAAAATAAATGTGTTGCATCCATCTACAATTAAAATATTTAAAAAAAAAATATTGTGCTGGAGGGGAAGAATTAAAAAATATTGTAGGCGGCTGGGGATGTGGCTCAAGCGGTAGCGCGCTCACCTGGTATGCGCACGGCCCTGGGTTCGATCCTCAGCACCACGTACAAATAAAGATGTTGTGTCCACCAAAAACTAAAAAATAAATATTAAAAAAAATTCTCTCTCTCTCTAAAATATATATATATATATATATATATATATATATATATATATATATATA